CTTTTTTTTTTCCTAAATAAGTGATTTTTATTTTCCACAATATTCACTTTCATGCAAATGAATGTAAGGATTGCAAACATGTTTACCAAGTGCTTGACAACTGAACGTATTCACTAATTGAATCCTTACAAGAACCACAGCCTGCAGGTATCCATTACTATCGCCATTTTGCAGATGAGGAGATTGGAGGCTCAGAGAGGTCCCAAGGCCACAGAGCCAATTACTAACAGAGTCAATATTATAAGCTAGGCAGTGGCATCAGGGTCCTTAGGGAAAAGGACTCAGAGTTTACTGATAATTTTTCCTCTCATCCACTTGTTTTGTTTGTGACGAGGTTTCTTCCATTTGGCACTGAATTCACTATGCAGCCCAGGTTAGCATTGAACTCACAGCAATCTTCCTGCCTGAGTCTCCTGAGTGCTGGAATTACAGGCATGCACTACCATGCTGGGCTTCCTCTCATTCACCTGTGAAATCTTAAAGTCTATTCTTGTGGCTCCTGCAGGTAACTTTCCTTTAAACATCACTTCCTATATGAAGTCATCCCACAGCGTCTATCCTCCCTTCCTAATCATCATGTTCTACCTATAACAGAGTCATAGCTATATCACATAACTAGGTTCCATTGGCTTTTTTTTTTTTCTTTTGGTACCGGGGATCAAACTTGGGAGCTTGTGCTTTCGAGGCAGGCAGTAGAACCACTGAGCTAAATCCCTGGCCCTCCACTGGCTTTTTTATTGCAATTTTTTCCATTTTTAAGTGTACAATTTATGGCATTATTTCACTCATATTTTACAGCCATCACTATTGTTTCCAAAACAATTTCATCACCCTAAACAGAAACACTGTACCCATTAAGCATTTACTCTCCCACCCTACTCCCCCCAGACCATGGTAGGAATCTACTTTCTTTATCTACGATTCCACCAATCCTAGATGGTTCGTGTAAATGACACTATACAACATCTGTTCTTTTGTGTCTGGCTTGTACACCTAGAATAGTGTTTTCATCCATATTGTAGCAAGAGATGAAAGGAGAAGTGGGGAGGAGAGGGGAAGGGGATAAAAAAAAGAAGCTATGTTATGTACATGTACCAATTCCCCATGAGGAATGCACTCACTGTAATCTGCAAACATGGACTACTAAAAAAATAAAAATTGAAAAAAAACTATTATGACTGAATAATGGTGTATTGCTTGTATAAATCACATTTTGCTTATTTATTCACCTGTTGATGGACACCTGGGTTGTTTTTACCCTTTGTGAACAATGTGGAATAAACATTGTGGTACAAAGATCTGAGTCCCTGTTTTTTATTCTTTTGAGTAGACGTAGGGGTGAAATGGCTGGGTCATATGATAATTTTATATTTAGCTTTCTGAGGAACCACAAAACTGTTTTTTACAAAAGCTGCACCATTTTCCATTTCTACCAATAATGTATAAGGGTTCCAACTTCTCCACATCCTCACCAATGCTTATTTTTTGGATGACAGCCTGGACGGCTTTAAATGGTGGTTGTAATGGTTCTGAGTTTTGTACAATGACTTCAGATACAGAGGATTGTGAACAAAGAACAGCTAACACTTTCTGGGTGTTATTTCCTAGCCCAATGTGTCTTAAGCTACAGATCCTAAAGGAAGGTGCACCTCTCCTTAGTGCAAAACTGTTCTCATGAGAATGTGACACAAAAATTTGCATCAGCCTCCTAAAGTCCATTCAGTTATCCCAGTGGTTTTTCTTATAATTAAAGAGCAAAATAAAAAATAATAGGAAACAGGGAGATAGACCTTTTGCAAATGGGAAGCACAGATGTAGGGAGAGGGAAGACAGGGGAGAAGGGGAAATAAAAAGAATTAAGATATGTATCAATTCTCCTTGATGAATGTAATTGTTATGTACTGCCAATATGTAGTAATAAAAAATTAAAGGGCTGGGGATTTAGCTCAGTGGTTTCACCACCTGCTGTGCAAGCCAAGGACCTGAGTTCAATCCCCAGTACCAAAAAAATAAAAATAAATAAATAAAGTTTGGAGGTTAAAAGCCAGCTTAATTAAATATTTAAATTGGGTAAACCCACAGAGACAGAAAGCAAATTGGGGAATTCCAGGGGCTCAAGGGAGGAATAATGGGATAACTGCCCAATGGGTATAAAGTTTTATTTTGGGGTTATGAAAATGTTTTGAAACTAGAGGTAGCACTTTCATTGTGAATATACTAAATATCATTGAATTTTTCATTTAAGAATGGTTTTAGTTGTATAAATTTCACTTATTAAAAAAAAAGAGTGGGTTTTAGTGTATAGCTCAGTGACAAAGTACATGTCTACCACGCACAAGGCACTGGGACTGATCCCCAGCACCACAAAATCAAGACAATGTGAATGTGGACTTGATATTTGATAATTTAGAAATTTTTGCTGTGCTTTCAGGTACTATATGTGAATGACACAATGTTAATATTTATGGATAAAGTTCTACCATGTAAGCGAGGCATGTTGGCACACACCTGTAATTCTAGCATTTATTGCAGCTGAGTTTGGGGCCCGCCTAGGCTACATTGTTCAAGGCCTGCCTGAACTACATAGTGAGACCCTGTCTCAAACAAAACAGAACAAAAAAATTGTATGACATCCAAGATTTGTTTCTAAAATATCAAAATCAGAAAAGGGGATATTACTAGATGGAGATATAAATAAAATAAGACTAGTCATATAGTGATAATTGTTAAAGCTCATAAGTGGCTTTAATAACAAGCATTGGCTGGGTTTTACTATTCTACTTCAGTATATTTTGAAATTTCCTTTTAAAAACTTTTTTAAAAAATGGATAGGGCCGGGGATTTAGCTCAGTGGTTCCACCACCTGCCTTGCAAGCGCAAGGTCCTGAGTTTGATCCCCGGTACCAAAAAAATTAATTAATAAAATTGGGCTGGGGATTTAGCTTGGTGGTTTCGCCGCCTGCTGTGCAAGCAGAAGGACCCAAGTTCAATCCCCAGTACCAAAAAAAAAAAAAAAAGACAGAATTTAGGGCCAAAATTACAAACACACTATCAGAGTACAAGACTTCATTATATATACCTCAAGGTAAGCAAACAAACATACTAGAAAACCATAAAAACATAGAACAAACTTGATTTATTAGACATACTTAAAAAGCCATACTTGAGAACGTATGTTTCTGTCAGATACATACCAATCTGAATCATGATGAAAATATCATGTATCAAAACTTATGGGATAAAGCCAAAGTAACATTTCAAAGGAAAGTGTTTTTGAAGCAAAACATTTACTGAAACATTTTAGATACACATAATGATACCATTCATGTAGGGAATTTGTACTGTACATTATATATCTTGCTTCTTTTTGTCCCATTCCTTTCCCCTTTCAATCCCTCTTTCTCTCTTTATTTACAAAAGCTTATTATATTAGGAAAAAAAGATTAAAAATTTCAGTTATACAAAAGGAGTAAGTTTGAGAGCTCTAGTGTACATCACAATGACTATACAGTAGTTAATAATAATATATTCTATATTTAAAAATTGCTGAGAAAGTAGATTTTAAGTATCTTTACCACAAAAAAAGATGTTAACTTTGGGCTGTGGGTATGGTTCAGTGGTAGAGTGTTTGCCTAGCAATTGCAAGGCCCTGGGTTCACTCCCTAGTACTACACACACTCATGTGTGCCTGCATGTAATGCACATGTGAATTAGTTCAACAGAACATTCTATAATGCATGCATATATCAAAACATCATGGGGCCGGGGGTTTAGCTCAGTGGCGCCAGCGCCTGTCTGGCAAGTGCAAGGTCCTGAGTTCAATTCTCGGTTCCAGGAAAAAACAAACAAAAAAACCATCATGTTGTATACCATAAATATATATGCTTTTAAATTAAAAAATAAAATAATTTTTATGCCATACTTCTATGAAGGAAAAAGAATACAATCAATGAGCTAAGTGACCAATTAAAAATGTTGGAGCCAGGGATGCAGCTCAGTGGCAAACCGCATGCCTGGCAAGCTCAAGGCCCTGAGTTTGATTCCCAGTACAAAAAAAAAAAAAAAAAAGTTGGAAAAACAACAAATCCAAAAACAAAAAGAAAAGTCATAATGAAGTGTCATTCGATGAAACAGACCAAAAGACTCAATAGAAAAAAACAGTAATCTTACAAATTGGTTCTCTGTAGAGAAAGAAAAAGATTTATCAAGAGAAAAAAAGGCACAAAAGATTAGGAATAAAAAAGAAGACTACAGAAGCAGATATTAAAAAGATGAGGATATCATGGACAAATACCTAGCATAAAACAACTTACCAAAACAAATTCTAGAAGAATTATAATGGCTGAATAGTCCTATACCACATTAAAAAAATTGAATTGAAAGTGAAAATTCTTCCCACATAATAAATACTAAGGCAAGACATTTTATAAGTTTTTAAAAACTATGCTTTAAAAAACATATAGTTTCAAGTTTATATGTACTCTCCTACAGTATAAAGGATTCCCAATTCATTCTAATAGGAGAGTATAAACTAGATACCAAAATGGACAAGGATAGGATAAAGAAAATGTATAGTTCAATTTTAATTGTTATATTAAACATATTTTTTAGTTTTCATATCTGATGTTTTCACTTCTGGGTCCTTGATGACCAGGAAAACACTGCTCCTTCCAGAATTACCCAGTCCCTGGATAGCAAAGAGTCTCCTGTAAACTTGCCCTTCCTATGCATAGTAATCTTGTCCCCAGGACCCTTACCCAACCACCTTCTTTATGTGGCTCTCACCTTCTGGGTCACTATTCTCCTCCTCTAATCACCATAGGACCAGGTATATCAGACAACTCAGGGGCAGCCAATATACCCTATGGTCCACTAAGGTTACTCAAACCAGCCAATCCTAGACCAACTTAGCCTGCTTACACTGCTATGTCCATTGTTTCTCTGGAAAACCACAATAAAAGCTCTTCTGCAGTTCCCCTCCCTCACTCCCTGCTACCAACCTTGGTGGTGTTTGGTGTGGCCCTTCGTGGTATGGCATGTCCTCTTCCTCTTGGGAACTGTGAATGATAAACTATCTTTTCAGTGGCAATTACCTCCTGCTCTCTTGGCCTCACCATACCTATTAGAAATAAAATCTGTTTAAAAACAATTATATAAATACAGAAATCGAGCAATGCACAATCTCAGAAGACACTGAATTTATTTATGTTTACCATTATTTTATGGACCTCTAAGAAAAAATAATGATGAGTAATAATATATATACTTTCTTTTTATTTGGAATTTTTTTCTTATTTATTGGAAGGTTCTTCTAAACATTTTTACAACATCAAATTCTTATAAATAAAAAAGAAAATACATGCAAAATGCATCTACTAAGTTATCCTTTTGTATTCAGAATTTGATTTCTTGGAATCACTTCCAATTCAGACTTACTGTTGTTCATACTTTCTCAAAGAACTTAATCTTCTCTTTTAAAAAACCATAGAAAATTAATAAACAAAAGAGAAAAAATGCATTAAAAACATAAGAACCAAACTACTACAATGGTTTTGGATTACACAGAACAAGTCTATTTTTTAACCTAGTTTGCATATGTTGATGAAACATGGCTGATATCTGCCTTCTTCTCCCATCCAAAACCCTTTCCTGGGGCCATTACAGTTCAAGAGGTTGAGATAATGCTCTAGTACTATCTCTAAGGTGCTGACATTCATTCTTTAAATTCTGACACTCATGATTGTGTATGAGCAAAGCCACAGGTGCACGTGTTCTTTGGGCATCAGTTGTAAGATTAGTTATAAGATATGTTAATTTCAGAAATGTAAAAGTGTGGGAAAATCTTTGAATTACCAGCATGAATAACACATCATAACAAGTTTAGGATTTTTTTTTTTTTTTGTACTGGGGATCAAACTCAGGACCTTGCACTTGTAAAGCAGGCACAGTGCACTGAGCTAAATCCGGGGCCCAAGTTTAGGATTTTTACAAAATTATGAAATCCATAAATTGCATCATTACATTAACAGCTTAAGGAAAAACATAATTTCAATTAGCTAAAGTTAAAATCCATTTGATAAAATTCAACATGTTAAATAATGAAAGGAAGTATAAATAAACAAATTTATTTACTATTTATAAGGAAACAGTAATACAAATTTATAGACTATTTATAAGGAAGTGTAAAGAAAATTTGTATGTTTAAAGATTTTTCTCTCTTTTCTTTTTTTGGAGATAGGGTCTCACTATGTAGTTGAGGATGTCTGTGGTGGATTAACTAATGGTCAACTTGGAACACCCACCTGAACTGAGTCAGCGTGGTTCTGGGTGCAGAAGACCCACTGAGAATTGCTGCCAATGTCATAAGAGGAGAACTGAAGGGGAAGATTATATGCTGTTGATTTTCCTAGAGAAGCATATCCTGGCTGGTTTTCCTGATACAATCTTAGCTGTTCTCGTGATCAGAGGAGCTCAGGTCCTTGCTGTCACTGGGATAGCTGCTGTTCTTTTCAGGGGAGCTCTCTCAGACTGGTGGCACAGATTCTTCACCCCACCAGCAAACTTTCTAGCTCCCACTACTGGCCTTTGGGCCTTCCCAATGCAGATCCTTGATAGGGACTCCCATGAGACATTTCTGTGGGCTCCAGGCCTCTGGCTTAACTCATGGAGGTCATTGCCTTGGGCTCTAGGCCTTTAGGTGGACTTGTATGGGACACTGCCGTGGGATCCAGACCCTCAGCTGGATTCTTCGGGTCTCTAATGCATGGATAGATCTCTTGCACTCCTCTGCATTTGACTTTTTTGGTGAATATTATAAAATAATCCTATAAATTATGTGTCCTGTATTAAATCTATTCCCTTGAAAACCCTTGAAACCATTGTCAAATATGATTAATAAGAATTTCATTATCTTAGGTAAATGTCACTCTGAATCTATTACTATAGGTGACTCCAAAATATATGATATAGTATCTCTCACTTCCACTCTGACATTTCCTGCTGTCTTTTCAACAATGCTGAAAATGTTAGGACTTTTGCAACTCTTAAGAGATGAATTAAATGCCTTTTGCATAAAGGGATGCACATGAGTCTTTGGGAGGCCAGGCGCAGAATGTTACGGTTTGTGTCTAGATATCACCCTAAAGTTTCCTGTGGTACAGATGGCTTTTTCAGAGGTGGCTGAAGCTAGAGTGTATGATGCTGGGATTAAGGGCATCTGATTACTGAATCAATACACTGGTTGGTTTGGCACTACCCTAGTCCCAGAAATTTGGATAAGACACAAGGGGTAGAAAGATGCTATTAAGGTTCCTTGTTGCTTTTGCTGTTTTCTTCACGCAATTAACTGTTTCTCCTCTGTGACACCCCTCTGCCACGTGCCACTCTGCCTGGAGCCAGCTGATTACAGACTGAAACCTCTACAAACCAAGCTAAATAAACCTTTCCCCCTTTAACTTTGGGTCTCAGGTATTTTGTCTCTGTAATGAGAGAAAAGTAACTAAGACACTGTCCTTGAACTCACTATGTAGTCTAGGTTGCCCTGAACTCTTAATGATCCTCCTCCCTCAGTCTCCCAAATCCTGGGATTACAGGTATGCACCATCACACTATTTCTTTCAGTTACAAAACATTTAGATCAATCAGAAATACAGCTGATCTTTAGAACAAATCAACTTTAAGAAACAATTAAAGGAGTACATACAGGATAATTTCCTAATAGATGTATTTTATGTTAAGAAATAAACTGGGCATCAGGAGGCTGAGGCAGGAGGATCAGATCACTGTGAGTTCGAGGTGATCCTGGGCTACATAGTGAGTCTGAGGTCAGCCTGAACTATACAGTGAAACCGTCTCAAAAAAAGAAAAAAAAGGAAAGAAATAAACTGGGCATTTTGGCGCATGCCTGTAATTCCAGCACTTGGGAGGCCGAGGCAGGAAGATTGCTGTAAATTTGAGGCCAGCCTGGGCAACATAATGAGTTCAAGGCCAGCCTGTGAGGCCAGCCTGAGCTACACAGTGAGTCCTTGTCTTAAAACCACCCCCCTCAAAAAAAAAAATATATATATGTCATGAAATATAGTTCAAAATGAAACCCAATATGGAGACCAAATTTATGGTAACACTTTTTAAATGATTTAAAAATTTTTTAAAAATGTTATTAGTACATTTGTGGTACATAATGATTACTTTTATCATGAGGAGTTGGTACATGTACATAATACATCTTCTTTTCACCATTTGCTAAAGAGGTTATCTTCCCTCCAACATATGCTTTTGGCCCCTTTGTCAAAGATCAAATGGCTGAATGTGTCTGGGGTTGTTTTTGTTTCAGTATCCTCTATTCCAGTGGTGGTGCTTGCCTATGGCATGTGTGACTCAATGGGCATGCAGAGCCCTCTCTGTCAGCACAAGAGCCAAGTCACCCCAGCAGCTGAGCATCAGACTACAGTAGCTTTTTTCCTAAACTAAAACCTTAGTATTGAGGTTTAATTGCAGTGTTGGCAGTTTGTAATAAATGGGTTTGGGGTTGCAGTTTGGGCACTTGGTTTCTAAAAGGTTCGCTATCACTGCTATTCTGTTCCACTGAGCTAATGTCTGTTTTTGTGCCAGTACCATACTGCTTTTATCATCATAGCTTTGTAATACAACTTGAAACCCAGGATTGTGATGCCTTCTGCTTTGCTACTGTTGACCAGGATTGCTTTTAGTATTCTGGGTCTTTTCTGGTTCCATTTAAATTTCAGGATTGTTTAATGCTGTTGGAATTTTGATTGAGATTGGATTAAATCTATATACAATGGACCCTTGACTTATGAATTCGATTGTTTCCCGAGGGCTGGTTGTAACTCAAGTTGACTGTAAGTCAACACAGCTGAGATCTAGATGTTTACCTGGGTACATGTTATAGATAACAAGAGGAAGCTGAATCTTCTATTAATCTAATTAACCCAAGTCATTTGTAAGTCAGGCTGGTCGTAACTTGAGGGTCTACTGTATCAGTTTTGGCTGTTTGTCATTTTGACAATACTGGTTCTACCTATCAAGAACAGGGGATATCTTTCCATTTTCTAATGTCCTCTTTGATCTTTTTTTCAATGTAGTACAGTTTTCATTACAGAAGTCTTTCACTTCCTTTGTGAGGTTAATTTCCACATTAGAACTTTATATCAACAAAGAAAGATACCAACTGCTTGAAACAGCACAATCACCAAAAACACATGAAATTTTAGGGATAAACTTGATAAAATGTATGACATATATGCACTGAGAACTATAAAATGTAGATGGGGAAATTAAAGAAGACAAACAAATTAATAAATATTTACTGTCTATAGAATACAAGACTCAATGTCAATAAGCCAAAATCCCAGCAGAGGGGTGGAGGGTACTGCTCAGTGCTAGAGTACTAGCCTAGCATACAAAGACCTGGGTTCAATCCCCAACACTGGAAAAAAATTTCCAGGATTTTTTTCTTGTAATTGAAAAGCTAATTCTAAAATTCATATAGAGGCCGAGAGATGTAGCTTAGAGGTAAAGTGTTTGCCCAGCACACACAAAGCCTTGCATTAGATCCCAAACACTGCCACAAAAAACATAAAACACATATGAAGATATACAGGCTAAAGTAGCCAAAACTTTGGAAAGGATAAACAAACCTGGGGTTCTTACTCTACTTGATTTCTAGACTTTTTATGACACTATAATAAAGACAGCATGGTAATGGTTGGTGTAAAAATAAACAAATAGGTCAATGGGACAGAAAAAATAATCCAGAAATAGATCCCACACATTTTTGGTCAACTGCTTTCCGACAAAAAGACCAAAGGAATCAAGAGAAAAGGGACATTCTGTTTCAACACATGCCACTCAAACAACAAATAATCATATGCAAAAAATAAACTTTGACCCTTACACCTCACACCATATAAAAGATTAACTTAAAATGGATCATAGGCTATAAAATTCTAAAACATCTATAAAGAAAAGAGAAAATCTTTATGAGTTAGGCCTTGGTAAAGACGACTTAAACAAAAACACATTTATTTATTTTTGGTTTTTTTTTGAGACAGGGTCTGGCTATGTAGTTCAGGGTGGCAATGAACCCACTATATAGTCCCA